CCAAGAAGGGAACCAGATCATCTAGTCTGACCTCCCGTGTAGCACAGGCCACCAGCACCACCCAGCACCCTCACACTAACCCCAACAACCAAAATGAGACCAAAGTATCACAGCCCACAGGAGACTAGACTATGATGTGCCACAGACAGCGGACAGGAGGGACTGAGATGCACCAATGCCCGAGGCTCCCAGAATGGCAGGGAAATGGTTAAGTGAGCCACAGGATTCTCCTTCCCCTCCAGTCCCAGAACAGCTGCCATTCTCCACCCAGAGGCGGCTGCATTTTGGCGGGCGCGTGAAGCTAGCCCTGTGCACAAGGCCCTTTGAGGCACCGCAAGCTGAATTAGTGTTGGACATAGCTCATCCTGCGGTGCTCCCTCTGAACTTTGCCAAATTGAGAAACATTTTGACAAGTTACAGGGTGGAGAAAGGAAAAGAATAAATGTGTGTGTCTGTGCTCAAGGTCACAAAGAGGGGCACACGAGAATTCCAAATTTCCAAATATCCAAATGTTTCAAAAACCAAAACACAACAAAAGCAACACCAGCAAAGTTGGAACTCATTGCCATGAATGACTCATTCAATTGTCATTGAAAATCTTTCCCCTCCCATTTTAAAACTTGTTTTGCATCTTTCCTGTAGAGAGAAGCAAACAAAAGTAAAGTATTTTCCCTGGGGGTGAAAGTAACTTAAAGGCCTTACCAGTACGCTGGAGTCCTGAGCAGTAGCCTCTGGCTGTGGCTGGGAGCCCAAGGGCCTTTAAATCACCTTGGAACTACCAGCTGCAGAGGCGGGGTGGCAGGGCTCCGGTGGGGATTTAAAGCGCCCGGGGCTCCCCGCAGCGGCTGGAGCCCTGGGCCCTTTAAATCACCGCCACGGAAGAAAGTTCAGTGCAGTACAGCGTACTGGCTCTTGCCAGTACGCCGGACCGGACCAAACCGGACCGGCTTACTTTCACCTCTGATTTTCCTTCACCTTTTCTTTCATTATTCTGTTTTTTTCACAATTTTTTTTCCAGTGGGAAAAACTAAGTGAATAGAGAAAAGAGTTTTTTTGTCACTTTCCATAAGTGCTTAAATTACTCTTTTTTCCAGCGGAATAAAGGTTCTGAAAGGGTAAAAATATGAGTGATAGTACTGATTTTCTAACTATTTCAAAAATAAATATTTGAAATAATAATAACTTAATATTCAGTTAGCACTAAGAATATATATCAGCAACTTCAATATAAAAATATCACAGGTATATTATAATTATCCACCCTCCACTCACCAAAAAAGCTTTGCCAATCTAGGAAATTGAGATTACACTTAAAAGGAATCCAGATATGTTAGTAGTATAAGGGCCCTACCGTCAATCAAACCCTAACCCCGCCCCTTGACCCCTGAAGCCCCTCCCCTTGACCACTTGGTCCCTCCCACCTGACACCGGAATTCCCATTCATGGGGTTATTCCAGACCGGAAGCAAGGTTTGTCAGGTGACCCCTCTAAGAACTCCCCCCACAACCCTCTACCAATCAGGAGGAGTTTTTTCCCGATATGACCGCCCTGAGAGGAGATTTTGACCAATTAGTATGACTTCTGGGGCGGGGTGACCCACCCAGAGGTAGTACATGTGACCCCTCTAAGAACTCCCCCCACCACCCTCTACCAATCAGGAGGGGCTTTGTTCCAATAGGACCGCCCCGAAAGGATATTTTGACCAATTAAGGTGACTTCCGGGGTTGGGGTGACCCATCCGGAAGTGGGTCGTGTGACCCCTCTACGAACTCCCACCACCACCCTCTATCAATCAGGAGGGGTTTCGTGCCGACAGGACCGCCCTGAGAGGAGATGTTGACCAACCAGGGTGACTTCTGGGTTGGGGTGACCCCTCCGGAAGGGAGTCGTGTGACCCCATTAAGAATGCCTCCCAAGGCCCTCCGCCAATCAGAGTGCAGCACCATTACCCCCATAAAGCCCAGCGCCAGACAGAGGAGGCCGCCATTTCTTACCAAGGACACGTGTTTTCGAAAGCACAGAAAGGCTGCTGAGAGGAAACATGGACTCCTTTACCACCCCCGTGAGAACTTCGGACTTTGTTTTAGCCCCGAGGGTCTTTGACCATCCGCGGAGAAAGCGTTACATCAGCGACAGTTCCGAGGAGGAGGAGGGAGCGACCGAGGGGAGCCCTTTGGCCCAGCCGTTGCTGGATATGCTGGAACCCAACCCGAAACCCTTGTGAGACACCCCGATGAGCATGACGGCCTCTCTTTGTCCACCCCCTCAGAGGTGGAAGGTGATCGCGGCTCGGGGGAGTCACCGGCGGACAAGGTGAACGGAAAAGACGGCGCTCAGGTAAATGAATGCTTAAGAAGCGATGGTCGAGGAGGGGTTGGTAACTCTTAGGATGATAGCTATGAGGAGTTTAAGAGGCTTTGCATAGAAAGTGTGGAAAGGCTGCTGAGAGGAAACAGGACAAGGCGAACGGAAAAGACGGCGCTCAGGTAAAATGAATGATTACGAAGCGTCGGTCAAGGACGGGGGTGGGTAATGGGGTAGGAACCGGGGCTTGCGTAAATTAAAAAACAAGCAGTGAGGGTTGCTTACATGTTTTCTTTTCTGAAAATTTCTCAACAGCTCGACGATGCCTTTCTAGAGGACCCGGACAGTGATTCATCAAGCAGCGAAGATGAACTGGCCCCACCATGTTTTTCTCAACGCCAATATGAGTTGTTGAAGAGGACTCTGAGGATGATGGCTATGAGGAGTTTAGGAGGCGTCTTGGCATAGAACTAACTGAGCCAGTGCCACGTCATGAGCGTAAAAAATTCATGCGGACTATTGTACGCATTGCTGTTTATGCTATCCTTAAACACTGCCTTAGGGAAAAGCTTTTTGAAGATTGTGAGGGCTGTATCATAGATGCGCCAGGCCAAAGGCACCATGATTGTGTGACTTGGACTTCAGTGGATATAAACTGCAAGCTCCGGGGCCTGTGTGCTGAGCTGTGTTTGGAAAGCTTATTAAACACTGTTGTTGCCATAGGTTATGGTATGCAATGTTTGTGCCTAACCCAAGAACATTTAGCGCAAGGGGTGACCTTGATAAATGCTGTGCAATTCAGTGCAGACCCTGACCGTGTTCTAAGGAAAATGACCAAACCGGAAGATGCCTGCTTAGAGCATTATCTTGACCGTCTAGTCCGCACAAAGAGTTACAGAACCATGCTTAAGAAAAAAACTATTTGTAAGAAATCTAAAAGGATTAAGTTAGAGAATGGCGAGGGGACAAACATGTGATATAAAACTTGGTAGCTGTAAAATTTTTTAAAAGGGGGGTTTGTGACTATTGTGTTTTGTTAGAAGGCCTTTAGCCTTTAAGTGAGCTAAAAAGTTTTAATGAAGCATCTTGGTTTTGTTTTCAAGAAGCTGTATGTTTTTAAATACAAAAAAATAAATTGTTTGTGAGAATTAGCTCTTGTGTTTGTGTGTGTGTGTGTATAGCAAAAAGCTGAAATGTATGTTGTGGTGGGGAAGGGGAAAAAATCCTAAAAATGTGCTTACAATAAAACAACCAAGGCTAGTTCAGACATGTGTCTGAGTACAAGAGAGTTAATATGGAGATATACTTATCTCATAGAGCTGCCTTTATTAGCAGGGCCAAATATTGATTTTGCTCCAGAGCCCTAAGTGGCCCTCTCAAGGCTTGAACTTGCAACCCTGGGCTTAACAGGCCAATGCTTAAACCACTGAGCTATCCTTAGGCTGTTGGACTGAATGGGGTTTTAACCACACACACCCAGACAAAATGGCTTCACTACCCCAGATCACAAAAGGGAATGCTATGGGAGGGGTGATTAAATTAACCTGTTAGCAACTATGTTTGAAACAATGGGCTAAGAGGGTATAAAAACCTTAGGTATGCTGCAGTTTGTCCTTTTAACAGAAAACTTTCTTGGATAGCTGCTAGACTGCAAAAAGAGGTAAGACTTGCTGTCTTTAACTCTGAAACTATATATTATATAAGGCCACTCTTTGCCCATGCTGTCTTAGTAAATAATGGTGCCTATGTTTATTGCAGTGTGATCTGTTTAGCATGGAACCAGTAACTTTAAACTGCATTTCACCACCAGGCCAAGGTAAAAACCATTTTAACTATAGTTGTGCTTAATACCATTGAATTAAAAAAAAAAGTATTACACAGGCTGTATAGGGCTTTGGTGGTAATACTAACTAACATTTTTGCTTGTTCTTGAACCTGAAGGCCCAAGCACACATGAGGGGGAACAAAACAAGCATGTGCCTGCAACACTTTATCCCATAGTGAAAGGTAACTTTATTTATTTATTTTTTTAAAAGTACTTGGCACAGGGTTTTTTTTTTTACTCTGCATAATGTGAGGGGTTTTTAAAATGGGATGAATGCTACTAATTAAACCCAAAGGCACATGGCTGTGGGGTAAAAGAAGCATGTGGCTTTTAAAATGCATGCGGGTTTTTGAAAAGTATATGGCTGCAAACTGTGGGTTTTAAACTGGTGGTATGTGTATTTTAAACTAACAAGGGTTTCTCTGCAAAATGGATTTTAAAAGCAGTTTTTGGTTTTACATCTCATTTTTGCAGTATAATTTAAAAACCTGTTTGTTGTACAGCCTGAAATGGATTATTTTGTTGTAAAGCTATGACTTTTTAAATAGAAAAACACCCTAATGAGGTGTGTGCGATGTCTGTTTATAAGAGGGTTTCATGTGTTTTATAACAATGTTGTTTGCTCCACAGTACAGTGAAAACATGAGAGATCCTTAGACCAGAGGGAAAACAAGCTGAAAAGAAAAAGGAAAGAAACCGCTGAAAAGGAAAATTCACCAGCATCAGTGACTGATGGATGGATGAAGCCCTGTAAATATATTTTGCTTATTGGTTTGGTTATTCTATGAGGTTTTGTATTTTAAGTAAATACATGGGTGTGGGTGAGAGAGGGTGGTAAAGTTCAGGGTTTTTTTTGTAAAATGTTGTTTTTTCCCCTGTCATAGGCCTGGGCAACTCTTCTGACAATGCGGTAGTCAGAGATACAAGGACATCTCCTCCAGAACTGCCAACGAACCAGGATTCTGCTTTGAGACCTTTAACTAACAACGCAAAACAGCACAAGAGTGCAGCTGAAACATCCGGGCAGTCCAAACCTCATATACGTCAAACCCAAGGACAAAACACCACCACACCAAGCCCTGAGGAAACTGAGCGAAAACACCCACATTCACAAACCCAGAGCACGCACTCTAGGGGTTCTGAATGTGCGCAAACCCGGAGCATGTGCTCTAAGGGTTGCGTTTAAAAAAACATGGCTTAAAAGCTTCTGCAATGTTGAGGTATTGCAATCACACAACCAGCACTCTAGTTCCTCAGCGGCCACCACCACACCAAGCTCTGAGGAAAC